TGAAAAGGAGGATTTTGAGGACGTTCAGAATTGAAGTCAGGAATGCCAAGGCAAATTGCTTACCTCTCTAAGCTTCAGTTTCTTCATTTATGTAACTAGGACAATAGTAGTACCTACCTGATGGAGTTGTGAGGGATAAATAAAATAACAAAAGTTGAGAGTGGGAAAAGCAAATGACTTCTGGGCCAGAAGGGCAGAACAATAGAGTTATATATATCATTTTAAAATGGAGGAGTATGCCTTATATTACACAAAAATAAACTGTTAAAAGGGTGTCCTTGGGTTAGTAAATAAAAGAATTCTTACTTCATCAAAGTTGGGTAATGAGGTGGTATCTTTTCTCTGAGACTTCTCTCTTTTTTCACAAGTTTCTTTGGACATTTTGAAAAGCTAAAATAAACATTAAAAATACATTATGTGTATTTTAACACCACCACAAAAAATACATTAGAAATTATTCTTCTTTCAGTTATTTAAAGACTGGAGTTTTACAAAATTATTTCCATTTGCTAACCTTTCCTAAGATAATAGGATTCTCTCACTGTTCCCTTATGAGGACTCTCCCTCATAATGATCTATCCTCTCCTTCAACTTCATCTATCTCACTTTAGGAATGACTCTCCAAACTATGCCCATAGCCCTGACTTCTCTCTCGAGCATCTGATCATCATTTTCTACTGCCTGCAGGACTACTGTATTTTATCCCACCTACACCTCAAAACCAATTAGTCATAAGTCTTCATTTTCCTGACACACCCCCTGTCACTCACTGAGTGAGACTTCAGGCAAATCACACACATTTTTTGAGTCCCAGTTTCATTATATGTAAAACAGAGATAACCTATCCCAGAGGGTTTTGAGGGACTTAAATGAAACAACGGATATTAAAATGCCTTGCACCAAGTAGAGCATAGTAGGTCCTAAATAAATACTGGCTTACATGGTTGTCTCCCTATTACCCTGAGCTCCCTGAAGAGTATGCAGTATTAAAAACGTAGGAGGTACTCATAAATGCTTGCTGAGGGAGAGAACACGTGATTGTTTTCTTCCTTAGAATATTTACTCTAATTCTGAGCCACTACCAACTCTGGCCCATTTCAGGCTCTGTCACTTTCCCTTACTAGTCCCACCTTTCCAGCCCTGCTCCAAATCAAGTCAATACTGTTAGTTTCTGAACCTCTGTCCCACCCGCCAAAAAGCATTAAGACAAATATAGTCATTCCTTGTGATCATAAACACTCTTATAGTATACCAAAAGCATCCTGCGCTGGAACATAGAGGCCCCAAACTGGGAACATCACCAGGACTGTTGGGACAGGAAAATATAAAAGGGGGGCTAGGAGCAAAGCCCAAAGGAGCGTTTATTGCTGGTAGTAACACATACTGAGACTACAGACCTAAAGGCTAGAAATCAAGCAACTGCAATTACTTCTGGTCAGTCATGATCACAGTAAGTGAAGTTCTACAAAAGAATAATGGGTTATAAAATCAAACTTTTAGAATGCTTTGATGAATATGAAGAGGAAAGCCTGGTTGGTGTAGCTCAGTGGTTGAGTGTTGACCTATGAATCAGGAGGTCACAGTTTGATTCCTGATCAGGGCACCTGCCCAGGTTTGATCCCCAATAGGAGGCAGCCGATCAATGATTCTCTCATCATTGATGTTTCTATCTCTCCCTCTCCCTTCCTCTCTGAAAGCAATAGAAATATATTTAAAACAACAACAACAAAATAATGCTAAAATTTAAACCTCTTATCCTAAAGACAAATTGAAAAAAACACTGCAGATAGTGGACTATTAAAGGAAAAAACACCTGTATATTTACCATGACAATGCTTTATACTTATACTAGAGGCCCGGTGCACGAAATTCGTGCATGGATAGGGTCCCTAGGCCTGGCCAGCGATCAGGGTCAATGGGGGCCTTCCAGCTGCCAGCCGGGGCCTGCCTTCATTCCGCGTCGCCCCCCTGGTGGTCAGCACATGTCATAGCAAGTGATCGAACTCCCAGTCTCCCAGTGGAACTCCCAAGGGGATACTTTGCATATTAGCCTTTTATATATATGGATAAAATGTGAAATTCACATTGATTTTATAAAAATCAAAATATAAACTAAATGAGAGAAGACCTCCTGTGCTGGTCAGCCTCCAGAATGGTCTCCTTTCACATAATAAATAGGGCTGATCTGTGTTTCCAGTAAGATAGTGCTAAATGGCAGTATGTGGCTAGGTCACCTAAGACATTGTGGCTTCTGCCTTTCTCTGTCCTGAACTGTTCATTCTAGAGAAAGCCAGCCACCAGGTCATGAGCACATTCAAGGAGTCCATGGAGATGCCCACCTCTTCCCAAAAAACCACCAAGTGCCAGGAATGTGAGTGAGCCACCTTGGGAGCTGATCCTGAAGCCCGAATCAAGCCTTTACATGGCAACATCCTTGCCAGGTATCTTCATATCCTCATGAGAAACCCCAGAGCTAGACACCCAAAAAGCCATCTGTGAATTTCCGACCTACTGCAACCGAGGTGTAAAAAAAATGTTTATCATTTTAAACCACTAAACTTTGGGATAATTTAGGCAGCAAGAGATTAGTAATACACTCACTTAATATAATTCTTCAAACTCGGAAGATTCCTTTTTAGGATGTCTCAAGATCAGCAACCGTGCTTACAAATTCTTTTTTTTTTTGTATGCATGCATATAAGCATAACCAATGGACACAGGTACAAGGGGGGGTGAGGGCATGTGTGTGTGTGGGGGGGGTGGCCAGGGAGAGGTTAATGGGGGAAAAAGGAAACACATGTAATACTTTAAACAATAAAGAATTAAAGAAAAACAAATCTTGCTAAAACTCCCATAGAATGTACACGCTAAAACCTAACCCCTGTCATCTTCTGTTTTCCAGCTGGTAAGAAATGATTAGAGTGCCAGCGGTTCTCAACCTGTGGGTCGCGACCCCTTTGGCTGTCGAACGACCCTTTCACAGGGGTCGCCTAAGACCATCGGAAAACACATATATAATTACATATTGTTTTTGTGATTAATCACTATGCTTTATGTTCAATTTGTAACAATGAAAATACATCCTGCATATCAGATATTTACATTACGATTCTAACAGTAGCAACATTACAGTTATGAAGTAGCAACGAAAATAATTTTATGGTTGGGTCACAACATGAGGAACTGTATTTAAAGGGCCAGAAGGTTGAGAACCACTGGAATCATGATTAGACGGACACACCGAATAAAGCTTTCAACTCGCCCTCCAGTCTTGCAACGATTCTTGGATAATGGACAAATAGAGTGAGCCACACCTCCTAAGTTTTAATGTGTCCTTACCCCGTTTTTTTTAATTGTCTTGCACCTGAGACTCAAAGCAGCTGCCCTCTCCTGTGGCCTGTAACGCTCGAGCCCGTCCCGGACAGAAGGGCCGGAAAACTTGTTTTCCCCCCCCTGCCTGCCCCGCGGGCTCAGTGCGTGCGGCTCAGGCTCCTGCAGGCCCCGAGTCCAAGGAAGACAAGAACCAAGGGGGGGAGGGGGCTCACTGGGATGTGCCCCAGGGAACCCGCATGGCACCCATCAAGTGCCCGAAGCTCAACACACTCAGAGTTCTGGTTATTAAAAGCCTAGATACCAGCGTGAGGGGGGAGGGGGCGGGGGGCCCTAGTCACCGGACGCTTACAACCCCGGCGCAGCGCGGAAGAAACCGGGAATACGCAGACTACAGCAAAAATAAAAACAAAACGAGAGTGATCGGGTCCCGGCGCGGGTGAGGGTGCGAAATGCGGAGCGGGCACCAACTTGAAGCGGCCGGGCTGACAGGCGAACTCGCCAGCGGCTCCTCAACCACGGGGACTAGAACCTACGCGGAGCCAAGGGCAGCCCCAGAGGCAGGGCCGGGCCAGAACCACACCCTTCACGGAGCCCGCTGGACCCCGGGTCCGCCCACCTATCGCCCGCCCCATCTTACATTCAGAGTGGCCCCCGGAACCCCCAGGACGGCCGGCTGCCGCCAAGGTCCCGCACTAACCGGAGGAGCCTGCCCAGCAGAACGTCAACGAATCCCCCCAGCTCCCCACCTTACCAGCGCCGGCGGCGGTGGCGACTCCAGAGGCCCCGCCAGGGGAAAGAGACCCCTGAACCCGAGGCCCGCCGGGAAATGTAGTTCTGCACTCGGCTCCAGATTACCACTGGGAGCATTCACTCTCTCCTAGGACTTGGAACTCCAAGTTCCCCCCGTCGGAGCAGTGCACGCTGGGTATTGTAGTCTTGGCTCCGTTGGGTGGTTGACGGCTGGAACCGGTACGCACGGTGGAAACAGAACTCTCTGACCTCATTGGTCGCCGTCCCCAGGTCGCTTCTGCGCAGTGAGTGGTGGCGTCGTAACGCCTCGGGGAAAGGGAAGCGGATAGAACCGTGAATCGCTGCCTCTGGCTTTTAATTCTTCTGCTGACAGGCACTGGTCACTGGTTCTTCCTCTTTTGTCTGTTGCACGCAGCCCGCCCTCCCCACTAGCTTTCCCACTCCTCGGATCCAGCCCTCTGGGCATTCAAGCTGGTTTTCTGACCCCGCCGTGAGCTCACTCCTGCTCCCCGCGCGGGTCTGGCACGGAGGCGGTAACTATGGAGAATATGGCGGAGGAGGAGGAGGAGGTGGCTCCGGCCCAGGTCCCGACCTCGGCCCCGGACTCGGCTCGGGTCCCAGCTCCGGCCCCGGACTCGGCTCCGACTCCAGCCCCAGCCCCTGCCCTGGCTCCGGCCCCGGCCCCGGCCCTGTCCCCGTCCCCAGCCTCTGCCCCTGACGAGGCTGAAAGCAGTAAGTGCAGGAGGCCCAGGTCTTTCTGCTGCAGGAGAAGCGAGAAAGTGCGTCTTGCGGGGGAGGCCCTTCTTCACTGGGGTGGCTTTCATGGGAAAGGAAGGGGTAGGGCGATGGGGAAGGAGGAGGGACCCGAGCTGCGCGGCAAACGGGCACCGAATGGAGAAGGCATGTCCACCAGCCTCGAGGACATTGCGATGAAGGTTATGTGGGGGCCAGGGGTGCTGCAAAATGAGCTTGAGGGCTTCTTCGTTAAAGGGGGTCTTTTTCTGGTGCAAAAATAGGAAGTTACACCTGATCTGGTAGTTTCTCTGAAGCTTCCGTCACGGAGTCCTTTGAAAATGTAACATAGTAACCGGGGCAACCGGTGTTTACTGTAGCAGATCCTAGCTGTCAAGATTTAGAAACCATTGCTCTCAACTAGGTTTTATGTCCGGACATACACAAAAAAGACGAGTTTTTCTCATTTCATTTTCTACAGCAGTTTGCTTCCAAAAAGAATTTGAGGGTGACGAGTGGTTGAATAATCTACTAAATTATGGATTTATGTCTTCCCTCGGACATAAATACCAATGGAGTTTTGTATTTCATTAGGTCAGAAGTTCAGCTGTTGAAAAGTATAGCCCATATTATTGTTAGTGCTTCTGAATGTGCTTGCATGTTTCTAAGTGGTGATTTATTGGGCCATAGAGGACAAAGGTAGGCCCTCCTCATCTTAAGGTCAGAGCTAGGTAGGTGCAAAATAAGGCCAGTTGTACAATGGTAGGGGGTAGAAGGTAGAGGGGGTTCACTGAGTTGTCTCCCTCATCGGGTGTGGTGTAGCAGCTTTAGGGAATGCATGCTTTCTCTAACTCATCAAGAATATGTTAAGCACTTTGGGAAGATTTATTCATGTGTTTTAAAGTTTACAAGTATGTAATTCATAGAATGCAATCTTTGAGAAGCCTGGGACACATAGGTAACAACTGAGAAATTGGAAATGCATTAGAAATATATATTAATCGCATTTTAAAAATTATCTCTTGATGGTCTAGTTAGTCCTTAGACGTCTGTCTTACGTAGGCAAGATGAAGGTGGCAACTCTGAAATAGAACTGAAAATTGAGGAAGAAGTAACAGAAGAAGTTGTGAGCAAAACCTCCTAGCATCTGATTTAATAAGGGGTTTTTCTCTTGACTTCTGGATTATTAGTGTGTTCCAGAAAGGTTGAGTAGATTTAAGTGCAGATTGCCTGATATCTGCTGTCTTCAACCACAAAGTGATTTCAGAGGTGTACATAGGCATATCATGAATCTTTATTTAGACAGGTCTTTGGGAGTTTTCTTTAGTAGTGGACCACAGGATTTTCCATTTTCTCTTCTAACTTACCAGGCCCCTTCCTTTTATTTTGTACTATTTAGTAGTTAGGATGATTTCAAAAAGCACATCTTTACATAGATATTGATATCTATATCTATATCTTGTTTCATATATACAGACCTTTGAACCATGGAAGCCAAAAGCCTTTATGATAAATTTTTCTCATTTAAAAGTAAGGTAAAAAATTTGTATTTTAATAAATTTGAGAAGGAATGGCTGATAGTACTGTATTAAATTCCAAAATTATAGACTGTGCTGCTGCATCCAAAAAGACTAGTGATGTTTAAAAGTTATTTAACAAACATCAGCGCCTGCTGTGTGCAAGTTACTGCACTAGGCACTTAGCCATTGCAAAGATGAATAAGACCTAGCCCCTGCCTTCTTACTGCTTATTGATGGGGGAAGACAGACAAGGCCACGAATTAGACAAAGGAGCTGGGACTGAAGCTCAGAGAGGAATTAGGCAGGACAGTAGCAGTGTCAAGAATAAAATTTAAAAGGCTGATGGTTCTAAATTGTATAACCTAATTATATAATGACTATTAGAGAGCCTATGGCTTATCCCATCATCTCCTATCTCATTGGAGATCTGTCCCTAAAAGTTATCACCTTCTAGTCTTGTATATTCAGGCCCCCACTTCGTAAACGTTCTCTTCCAAAATTTAGAAGTATGTAATTTGAAGGATGTGTAATATTTGAGAAACCTGAAAGTGTGTTTCTGGGACTGGGTTTTGAATTTTTTCTTCTCTTTTTCACATTTTTTTTCTCCTTAGGCTTTCTTCCTCGTGTTCATAGTTTCGCCTAACATATGAATTTATTATTTATATCCATTCAGAATCCCTCCTGAACTCCAAAAACAAAACTGCCTACTGGACTTTACTACATGAATACCAGTAGTATATCAAACACACTATGTCAAGAACTAAATTCCCTTTTTTCCTTTCCTCTTCCTTTCTGCCAAAAGTATTTTCTTCTTCCTTTATTGGTTAATGGTACCATTATTCTCAACCATGTAAACTTGAAATCTTAGATTCATTCTTGAATTTACTCTTCAGTCTTACTTTACACCCACATCCCAAGTTCTTTGCTTCTTTTTTTTCTTTGGTTTTACCTTCTAGTCTCCTGTACCTATCTGTTTCTCACCTCAATTATTGATCCTTGGTACTATAGCCAGAGATACCCTCCTGAAACAGTCAAATCATATTCACTTTCTCAAAAACCTGCAAAGACTTAGCATTGCCTAAAGAAAAAAGGTCAAACCAACTTGCATAGAATTTATGCCTTTTATTATCTGTACTACATTGAGGCTGCATATTTTTCTACCAACTCCATCTAGCCAGGTGTGGGATAGAAGTGGCTGTATTTTTTATACCACATTCCTTTGTTCATGAGATTACTTAAGTTTATAAGGCCAGCCACCAGATCTTACTGAATTCTGTTCATACCTTAATGCGCTTCTTCAGTAAAGACCTTCTCAGAGGCTCTTGTTGGAATTAATTGCCCCTTACTCAGTGTGTCCACATTATATTCACCCCAAGTATTCTTTCATTCTGCCTTGTGTTACAGTTAGTAGTTAATCTCTCCTACCTGATTGAAAGTTCTTTGAAGATAGGAAACATGGCTTAATTTCTTCAGTGTTTTGTACAGAATAGAAACATTTTTTAAGAATTATATTGAATAATTAAGTAAATTTTAAAGCTGTCAGGTTGCATAAATGTAGTTTTATCTCCTGTTTGCATTCTGAGGCACACTTGTCATATATAAACTGAGTCCCAGCAGTATTCTCCATCTAGGTATTAGGGCATTATGCTATAGGAAATAAAACTGTCAAACTCTAGGTAAAGTAATTAATAATGGAACTGGAATATAGATTGTTGAAGTGTAATTTTCTAATTTTTAAATTTTCTTTCAGAGAGACACATCTCAATTCAGAGGCAGCTTGCTGATCTAGAGAAGTTAGCTTTTGTAACTGAAGGGGATTTTGACTCTGCTAGTTCATTGAACTCAGATCATCTTGATGCAGGTATTTCCATGTTTGTTTGTGTGTGTGTGTTTTCTTAATTTCTAATGGTTTGTTATCTAGCATGAAAAATTTGCTAGAAATAGACTTGTATATTCTGTTGAACTAGAGGAGTAAATATTTTTATGCAGGAAACTGATAGTCATCTCTATGCAAAGGTTCGGTGGAATCAGTTACTTCACAACTCAGGGAAATTACAGTCTCATCCTATGTAATCCTATATAATAAAAGCATAGTATGCAAATTGTCCCCTGGACCAGGAGTTCCTCTGGGAGTTCTACCAGGGGGCAGGGCCAGCCAGGGAAAGGGAGGGAGTACCCGGCCAGCAGCTGGCAGCTGCTAGGGATCCTACCAGTGCATGAAGGGTGTGTGTATTCTATGTGTATATCTATTGCATTTGGCTAGGAGTAACAAAAAAACACAAAAAAACACATTGCCTTAAAAAAAAACATTGCCTTAAAAAATATGGAGGCTTATATTCTCTCCTGTAAAATAAGTACCAAGATAAGCAATCTAGGGCTGGTACAAGAGTTCCACGGTACTGTCAATGCCCTAAGCTCCTCTCTTTCTGATTTGCCATCCTTAGTGCTTGGATTCCATCCTTAAGATCACCTCATGGTTTTTTGAAGTAGGCCCAGTATTAAAAAAAAATAGTGTCTATACTTGCAGTGTGCTATATGTGAAAGGTATTTGTTGGATTAAAATTTATTAAGTGGGTTATTGATTGTTTCTGTATATTTTTATTGCTTTAAGTCTGAACTTTAATTCAGGTTTTAATTCTTTGGTACACTGTTTTTATTTGAGATACATTTCTAATTAAATAAGACTTTTATTTTGATGATCCAAAATCTTTTCAAGGACATACTAATAAAGAAGGAAGACCTCACAAATTCAATAGTAGGATACAGTGTTTCTAATCATGGCCTCCAGTCTCAGAACACCAATCATATTAAATTCCTCCTACTGCTTTGGGTTTCTTCTTCCATTTTTCTAACTCCACATGTTAACTGTTTTTGTTGCTGCCAGAGTAGAAGAATGCCACAGCAGCTACTTATTCTCTCTACCCAGCTCCTGGCCCTCTGGGAGGGTGACAACCTCTGCCTTTTCCCCTGTCCAAAGTACAGAGTGACTCTGCCAGGCACTTTGGCTGGAAGGATATATAGATTATCATTCTTCATCTGTTTTGTTCTCAGTGGCAGTAAGGATAGCAGCTAGTCACAGAGAGGGGATTTTTAGGGTAAAAATCACTGACCCTGTGCTAAAACAATTTTTGTTAACTACCCGCTGAGACAGGGGTGATGTCTTACTGAAGTTAAGGAAGATATTATGTAAGAAGTGGGGTGGGGCTGGGGTCCTCGGTTACTTTTTTTGTAACTGAATTGAAGCATTAATTGGTAGTATATTCTGTGCCTTATCAGTTCTTTTTTCTTTATCAGGAAATAAACAGGCTTGTCCATTATGTCCTAAGGAAAAATTTAGAGCTTGTAATAGCCATAAGCTTCGTCGGCACCTTCAAAATTTACATTGGAAAGTGTCAGTTGAATTTGAAGGTTAGTATTTTTGTGCTTACTAAAAAGTGATGTAAATGAAATTCAAGATTTGATACCAGTTTGGGAATTTTATAGTGAACTTAATCAAGTGTTTTAAGTTTAAAAATTTGAGGGATTCAAACCCTTCTTTTAATGTGTTTATGAATAAAAGATCATGTTGCTCTCTAGGCAATAGCAATATATAACACAAGTAGTTTTGTTTGGCAAACATTTATTAAGCATCTGTTCTGTACTATGTACTCTGCGTGGCCCTGGGGGGTCCACGTTTTGGACAGTGTCATAAATGAAGAGTCTGTGTAGCGCAAATTAGCATAAGGCAGAGAAGATGAAGCCTAAGAAAAAGTCAAGTGGCAGAGAATAGATGACAAAATTGAGTTCTAAGGAAGCTAAGTGGCTAATCCAAGATAACACAGATAGTCTTGGCAGAACCAGAATTCACACTTGGATCACCCATATTTGGGTGTACTATATATAACAAGTAAACTAAGGCTATCTTATTAAGTAAATTAATTAATGATATTACAAATACAAAAATAATCTGTTATTCTTATAAAATTTGCCAATAATTTTGTGTAAATTGAATATTTAATGAACAGTGATATGACAACCATCCATCCTTCATTCTAGGTTACAGAATGTGCATCTGCCACTTACCTTGTCGACCAGTGAAACCAAATATTATTGGAGAACAGGTAATCAGATGTTAGATTTATTTTGAAATTTAGCCCTCTTTAAAGAATGTGCAATTTTTACTTGCTTTAACACTAAAATGTTTATATTCAGCAATGAGGTTAACTTTACAATTTTGTGTCTGAATGTTTTCAGATCATCATATTGGGAAAAATATAAAATGCATGAAAAAAAGGGTTGCTGTATTGAAATTTTTATAGTTTTAATTTCAGTCAGATATATTGCTGTCTTGTGTTCAAAAGGAAAATTATTTACTAATTTTAGAATGGAGAATTAAATAGAAAGTAATTTTTTTCTTTTAAAATAAATCTTGATTATAGAATAAGAGCCTTCAATTTCTGTGATTTAATAAATGCGTTGATTCATTCTCACCATTCTTCCTGTGTGCTTCCATTAATCTGCCAAAGGACAGAATAAGAAACTTCCTGAAATCTTTGATAACTTTTTTTTAAAAGTACATATGTTCATTTTTAGAATAGATTTGACCTTTGGGGAATAAAAATTATAAAGTATTTTTGGTGATTCTATCCTGAATACATATTAGCTTATTATTAATTTTTCTTTTGGATCACTAAAAAGAGTAGTGCTGGAGAAAAAATAACATTTCTTTTTGTTGTTTTTTTTTTTTTAATTCTTATTGTTGAAAGTATTACAAAAAATCATTTCTTAAGCAGTAGTCAGGACAATGCTTGTCCATGAACCTTATCCAAGATATTTTGAATATGATAACCACAGTACCATAGGAATCTTTTGCAATGTTCTTGAATATTCTTGACTTGCTATATGATTCCAAGTAAATAGGAGGTAGACACAGCAAAAGTAGGAGTGCCATTGGAGTAGTCTTTTGGTCCTCAGCTATGTGAGAAATTATAAAGTGAGAATTTTTTACTTGGAAAAATAAATGTTTCATTAATTTTCAGAAATCTTAAAAGCTGGTTACTAAATGTGGTCATCATTAAAAATTAAATTAGCCCTAGGCGGTTTGGCTCAGTGGATAGAGCGTCAGCCTGTGGGCTGAAGGGTCTAGGGTTCGATTCCAGTTAAGGGCACGATCCCCAGTAGAGGACGTGCAGGAGGCAGCTGATTAATGATTCTCTCTCATCATTGATGTTTCTATCTCTCCCTCTCCCTCTCCCTTCCTCTCTGAAGTCAATAAAAACATATGTAAAAAAATTAAATTATATGAACTTAAAAGTGAATAAGTTATATTAAAAACAAAGGTAATGAATACTCAAAGCTCACTACTTGCTAATTATTTTACTGCATGTTTCTATTATCTATGCTCTTACAGTTATTTATATAATATCTGCATGGTGGCAATGCTGTCTTTTCCCAAATACATGTTCATTGATGTCACATTGGTAACTTGAAATTTGTCACAATTGTAGCTTAAAATTAAAGAGTATATTTTCTTGATATTGTAGAGTATTTATACTACAGAAAGCTGAAAACTCTACGAATCAGAACTTTATTTTCCTGGTGAGACAGTTAAACATCTACCAGCACACTGCTACTAATATTATACCATCTGTAAGTGCTGCTTATAGAAAAGAGGATACAGTTATTTGTTGATTAGAATGAATGGGAAAATCTTAGAAATTAAAGTTGTAGCCTATTGTAAAATTAAATTTAAAAGTATATGTCACATGGCAAAATTAATACTGTCTTCTATACCATTAAACCCAAGACACATACGTAAATTTACAACCTTGAGTAAAGTTCTATTTCATTGTCTTAGTAACTTATTTATGTATTAAATTAAATACTCTGTTTGCTAGATATCCAGTAAAATGGGCGCCCATTATCATTGTATCATTTGTTCAGCAACAATCACCAGAAGGACTGATATGCTAGGACATGTTAGGCGCCATGTGAATAAAGGAGAGACTAAATCCAGGTATATTGCTGGTAAGTTGAGCAATCTTATTAACATGTTAGTAAGTAAATCGTTAAACAATGGTCCAATTATTCTTTTTAGACATCGATGAGATAATGATAGTGACTTAACTAAATCACTGAGCTAACTACTACACCCTTACTTCAGATTTCCTTTTTCTGTGAGCCTCCCAACAATGTTTTTCTGTCCTCAGTTAACATATATTTCACAAGTGGGTAGAAAAAGCAACCGATGCTCAAGTAAATACAGGTATCTTAATGAACGATTATAGGACTGTAATACTAATGATGGCTCCTTCACCAGTAATTGTGTTATACTTATCAAAACACACTAGAAAAAGTATGTAAAATGACATAACGACCGCTTATTATCCTGAGTGGTATCAAGTTATTAGTAATTATTACTGAGGCAGCCCTTCTCAAGAATTAAGCCCTCATTGTCCTAAGGCCGTGGTCGGCAAACTGCGGCTCGTGAGCCACATGCAGCTCTTTGGCCCCTTGAGTGTGGCTCTTCCTAAGCCTTAGGAGTACTCTAATTAAGTTAATAACAATGTACCTACCTATATAGTTTAAGTTTAAAAAATTTGGCTCTCAAAAGAAATTTCAATCGTTGTACTGTTGATATTTGGCTCTGTTGACTAATGAGTTTGCCGACCACTGTCCTAAGGCATCCACTGTATGTAAAGAAGTAATGTCTATACATCTAGAATGGTATTATGTACCTTTCTTTTGAGAATTGAAAAAAGTCACTAAAATAATTTTCCATAGTGCTTAATTTTCTCACAGACTCTGGTTTGAGAAAGGCTGACCTTGTGAGGTACATGATGCCACTTCGGTGGGTAGAGAAGATGTATAACAACGCTGGGAGAGGGTGCTGTTATTTGGCATTGTAAAAAGAGAAGTATGGTTGCTATTTAGTTAACATTCTGATTGTAATATAATCAAGAAATCCAAATATAGTCTGTTATTTTTCCCCACACATATTATATGTGTCTCATTTCTTAAATATGCAAAACATATACTTAAATACATCAGCTTTTCATTTGGGTTTATAGCTAAATTATTCAAATGTAAAGCAAATGTAGAATTTTTTCCTTTACTTTATATCTGTTTTAATGTAATTTGTGATTTAAATCATAATTATGAGAAAGTGTTCTGAAATCTAGCATGTTCAGGAAATATAATGATTCTTTCTCATGCTGGCTAATGAATGTAATCATACAAAGATACCACTTTTCTAACACTTATCCCACAATAACATCTTTAGCAGCCAACCCATGTAAATGTAATATAGTATTTGATGAGGAATAAAGGTATTTTAGGATTCATTGCTATCTTAGGTTGATTGTTCTTTCTTTTGCTTTTTTTTGTTTGTTTTTATTGATTGCTCTTAACTAGGTATCATTATTGATGGAGTAGGCAGTTATGATTTTGAGTTGATAAATTTTAATTCAGTAAATACTACTTTTTTCCAGAGACAGTGCTGAGTAGATCAGTTTTTAACACAATTACATTAACACATTATTATAAAGGAAAGTTACTTTTTAAGTGTATATTGTTTTAGATATTTAATAATATTTTGTATTTAACTAGAAATCTTTTTTTTTTAATCTTAGCTTCTGCTGCTAAACCACCTACTGAAATTTTGAAAGAGGTAGACACAGATGTACAAGTTTGTCCTAATTATTCTGTACCTCAGAAAACAGATTCCTATTTTAATCCCAAAATGAAACTAAATCGGTAAGCTAAATTGAGAAAAGGGTTATGGGATGTTCCAAATCATTACAAATATACCCTCTCTTAATCTTTATGTTCCAATGCAGCGATTTTCATCTAGTATGCCGCAAGAAGCACAGATGTGCCACAAGAATTTTAAAAACATGCATTACCTGTTTAGTCAGGGACACTGACTCTTTTCCCTTAGATTGTCAAATAAAAAAATGACAACAGCCTTCACAATAATGGCCATCCAGTGTGACTGAATCAAAATGACACTTTAATTTTTGTCCGATCAGCAAAAGATACTTTTTGGTTGCCTACAGAATTTTAATAAATAATATATGTGTGCCATGAGATGAAAACAGGTGAAAATCGCTGGTGTAATGTGTTGAAATTTAAAACTAGGTACAGAATGAAAATCATCTATCTTAGCATTTCTCAGAATGATTATTTTCTCTCTCTCTTTTTTTTTTTTTTTTAATTTTTGTCCGATCAGCAAAAGATACTTTTTGGTTGCCTACAGAATTTTAATAAATAATATATGTGTGCCATGAGATGAAAACAGGTGAAAATCGCTGGTGTAATGTGTTGAAATTTAAAACTAGGTACAGAATGAAAATCATCTATCTTAGCATTTCTCAGAATGATTATTTTCTCTCTCTCTTTTTTTTTTTTTTTTTTGCCAGACCAATTTCTTTCTCAGAGAGTAAAGTAGACCTAACTTTATAGAATTAATGAACAATGTTTTTGTGGAAAAATTTTGTTTATAAAACTTTTATTTATAAAACTTGCTTATAAAATCATTTTTTCATAGTGAATGTTTGCTAATAGAACCCAACTGATTCATAGTTTAATTTCACAAACTTCTAGTTCTCATACTATTAAGTAGGGAATATGTTATTAGGCCTTTTTTTTTTTTTCAAATAGGAATGCCACCACTATTATTAAATAAAATAAAAGCTATAATGGTAAAGCCATGGTAGAGTAAAGTCATTTCAGATTATTATACTTTCTTTTAGGCAGCTAATATTCTGTACTTTGGCTGCTCTGGCTGAGGAGCGAAAACCTTTGGAATGTCTGGATGCCTTTGGAGCCACTGGTCAGTAATGAAGCTGTTCTGGAATCCAGCTTAATTAGATTTGTACACTATCTTTTCTTAGAAAATGTATGTGATTATCATAGAATATTTTGATATAAAAAATTGAAGATTGCCCTAGCAGTGGATAGAGTGTCGGCGTGTGGACCAAAGTTGTCCCAGGTTTGATTCCGGGCGATGGCACGTATCTCGGTTTGATTACAGGCTCCACCTCGGCCTGAGCCCTGGTCTCTGTCACATCGATATTTCTGTCTTTCCCTCTCTCTTCCACTCTCTTTTAAAAGCAATGGAAAAATATCCTCGGGTAAAGATTAAAAAATGATAATAAAATAATAAAAAATTGAAGATCCAAGGTTAAATTTTTTTATTGTGGAAAAATTTCTAATATATAAAAAAGTGGAGGATATAATAAATGAATTCCTTTATATCCATCACTTACTTCACAAATTATCAACTCACGCTCAGTCTTGTAACTATCCCATGCACTTATCTCAGACCTCATGTCCCCAATCCTCCATCCCATTTTGAAACAAATCATAAATATCTCATTTCATCTGTAAACATTTGTTAGATCTGTAAAAGATAAGGACTTTTAAAAAATAAAGCCATACCATTATCACACCTTAAAAAATTAAGAATAATTCTTTAATTAAATGTTTAGATATGCCCAACTATCTCTTTTTTTATCAAATCAGAATCTAGACAAAGACTTTATTTCAGTTAATATGTCTCCTAATCATCAATCTATATACCTGTTGTGTATGTGTCTGAGATAATTACTTGAGTGGCAATCCTTGTCTTGTTCCTGATCTTAGGGGAAAAACTTTCAACTTTTCACCATAAGTATGTTAACTGTGGGCCGCTTATCATATATGGCCTTTGAGGTACATTCCCTTTATCCTTGCTTTTTTGAGAATTTTATCATAAATCAATGTTGAATTTTGTCAGATGCCTTTTCTGCATCTATTAAGATACTCATATGATTTTTATCCTTCATCTGTTAATATGTATCATATTGCCTGATTTTTGGATGTTGAACCAGCCTTGTATCACTGGAATAAATTCCACTTGATCATGGTGTTTGATCCTTTTAATGTATTGTTGAATTTAGTTGGCTAATATTTTGTTGAGAATTTTTGCAATATGTTCATCAGGAATATTGGCCGGTAATTTTCTTTTCTTGTGGCATACTGTACCTGATTTTGGTATGGGGGTATTGCTGGCCTCATAAAATAATTATTGATAGGCATTGCTTATTGCCATTTTGTTGTTTTCCAGTTGTTTTTGTAGTTCCTCTTTGTTCCTTTCATCATCTCTTGTTCTCTTCCCTTGTGGTTTGATGACTTTGCTTAGTGGCATGTTTATATTCCTTTTTCTTTATCTTTCATGTATTTACTCTAAGTTTTTGCTTTGTGGTTACCATAAAGCTTTATCTGTAACAACCTGTTTTAAGTTGATAGCAACTTAAGTTTGATCCCATTATAAAATGCAACATTATTACTGTCCCCCAACCCACTTTTTGTTTTTAATCTCACATTTTACATTTTCATCATATATCTCCCTTAACTAATTATTATAATCATAGTTATTTTTACTACCTTTGTCTTTTAACCTTCATACTAGCTTTATAAGTAATTAGTTTCCTTTACTATATAATTACTTTTCCAGTGAGATTTAATCTTTCATGTGTGTTCTTGTTCCTAATTAGATATTTTATTTGAACTGGGATCATAGAAAAGTTTTGTAAGAAATACTAATGAAAATCTGTAAAACTCTTTTTGTTTGATAACTTTTCTTCAGAGGCTTTGTAGTGAGAAAGTAGAAAAAGAACTACTTATGAAAATACTAAGATTTTGAAACAATTTATTTATAGAATTATATTCTATATTATTGTTATACAACTTTCTTTTTTTAATTGTTACAATTTAAAAACAGATTTTCTTTCCCATTTCTCCTAAGGGATAATGGGATTACAATGGGCAAAACATCTTGGAAATGCAGTCAAGGTTACCATTAATGACTTGAATGAAAACTCTGTGACCTTGATTCAGGAAAACTGCCATTTAAACAAATTGAAAGTGGTGGTGGACAGTAAGGAAAAAGAAGAGGGTGATGACATTCTTGAAGAAGGAGAGGAAAAGCTTGGTAATATTAAGGTGACCAAAATGGATGCCAATGTACTGATGCATTTGAGATCTTTTGATTTCATGTAAGTGAAAAAATTTGCTGTGTCACTTTCTAAACTGGTCTGGAATTTTTTTTGGGGGGGGGGATATAAAAATTGACAGTTTGTTGTTGCTTTTTATTTGTTTCAGTTAATACAGTTTTGTTTTTAGCATTGGCCTAAGGAATGCAATAGGAACATTTTCCAGCACCTGAAATAAAATGCTTGGGCATGACAATTTTCCTTTAATCCTGACTTATTTTTATTAATCTAACATAGCATATGGTCAATTTTATTACTTTTAAAACAGAATTATGTATTTAAAATAGATTTGTAAAGTACTCATGAACACATGGAATTTTATTAGAAATAATGACAATCATATAATTTTTACCAATATGATTTTAAATATGTCTATATTCTTTCTGATTTTAGACACCTAGACCCTTTTGGAACATCCGTGAACTATCTAGATTCTGCATTCAGAAATATAAGAAACCTTGGCATAGTATCAGTGACTTCTACAGATATCAGTTCTTTATATGCCAAGGCACAACATGTTGCCCGGCGACACTACGGCTGTAACATTGTCCGAACTGAATATTACAAGGAACTCGCAGCCAGAATTGTTGTAGCGGCAGTGGCAAGGTACAGAATTGCCAACAGTGTAATACCTAATGTTTGGGCATATGTTAAAAACAGATTCAAGAAGTGCTTCTCTCATTTTATAAATATGCACAAAATGCAAATTCTGTATTTCATACCTATAATCTTCCTTTGTTTTGTGATCTGATGTTGTATCTTTTAAAATTTGATTTAAAAGCTTGTGCTTAAAATAGTCAGTTTACTCTCCAATTAAAAATATTCTGAAAGCAATTAATGTAGTAAGAAAGATAAAAATGAAAGTTAATTTTAAGTCAGTTATTTCAACAATGTAGGGTAGATGAGAGGATAGCATAATGAAAAGGGAAGGCAAAGATTGTTTTTAGATTGAGAAACAGTCATTGTTTTATGTTCATCTAATCTTTATTTAAACAAATAATTTGCAAAATGATGGCTTATAACCTGATTCTGCAGAATGATCTTGCCTACAAAAAAAGCTCTCTTTCTCATCTATATTTCTAAACATTTGAAGGAATATTTTTTTTGAGCACCTCTCTTGTTCAGAATCTCTTATGCTATATAAATGGACATTGCAAGTATATATAATGGATAATCAGCCAGCTCACTTACTGGCCTCAAAACTAATTTCACAGCATTTAGATTGAAATTCCTACCTCAGCATAAATAGATTAGACTTCATAGATGTTAAGTGTTATTCCTAATTGAAAACTCTGATGTTCAGTTTATACATGCCCATGACCTACTTAAAAATGTTTACACTAACAAATTCAAATTAATATATATGAACCAAATTTAGTGTGTAACTGCAGAGAGAAAACTAAGTACATAAATGCTGCATCAAGTAGAATTTAATCCAGAAGTGTGTAAAATTAATAGTAGCAAGGACTCTGCCTATTCACTTTTCCCTGAATATTTAGCAGCTGGCTTACTACCCTGCATATAGTTAGTATTCAGTAAACATTGTTTGGAAGAAGCTTTTATAGAAAAAACAGGTAAAAAGGCAGAAAGGTGGTGGTGATAACAACAAAGAAAGTGACATTGAAAACCAGAGCCTGTAGTCCTATTGAGAGGCTGTGATAAAGGAAAATGTCTAGTTACTGAAGACTCCAGCAAGCATCCTTTATTTCCTGTGTTTCATTTTGTATAAGAGTTATAGCAATTATCTTTTAAAAGTATGCTGCTAAGAATTGAATTTTTCTTATTTTCCCTTCACCTACCCATAGTTTACTGTCCACGTTAGTATTGTAAATATAATGTCAAAGAAAAATGATAAGCACCCAAAATAACTTAAATTTTTTTTTCCAGAGCTGCAGCTCGATGTAACAAAGGCATAGAAGTACTATTTGCAGTGGCTCTGGAACATTTTGTCTTGGTCGTTGTGAGAGTTTTGAGGGGGCCTACTTCTGCAGATGAAACAGCCAAGAAGATACAGTATCTGATACATTGTCAGTGGTGTGAAGAGAGAATTTTTCAGAAGGATGGTAATATGGTAGAAGGTAATTCAAGTTTCTTTTGACTGTATACTGTGTCTAATTTATTTTTTAAAAAATCTTTATTGTTGAAAGTATTACCTATTTTCCCTTTTTCCCCTAATTGACACAATAAATTGTGTCTAATTTATGTATAAGCCTCCAATAAATAAGCCTTTATCACATCCCTAATTATACATATTGTCCTTTGGTTTTAAAGATGACAGTGCTAACTTTATTTCCTATCCTGGACTTCCTTTCATCAACAGAAAAGGCATTTGTGTGAGTTTATTTACTGGTGCTATACAATTTACGCTCTCCAGCTCTGCCCTCCTCTATTGAAACATCTAGAAATAACTTAGTTTCCACTGTCACTAATTTTAGGAACATAAGTTAGGATAACCTCTCTGTTTCTGGCTGAATATAAAAGCCATCAGTTACAAAATTCATTCAATAAACATTTACTGAGACTCTACTATATGCCAGGCCTCGGAACCAAGGAAAATAATTTGACTTTTGCCCTTATAAAGGTGTTTCTATTTTTGCTTTTCCAGGATATAGAAACAGTTGCCCTAGGAAAACAGTGACAGAGCCTTTAAGTAAATCTAAAATTAAGATCTCACACTGTGTATTATGCCATTTAATTGCACTGAATAACATTGATATCAGATAGCGAGAAGCTAAAGACCAGTATCCCTAAGACCGATTGATCAGATCCAGCCATTCCAAGCAAGTGCATGATCCACCTAGGAACAGCCTGGGCGAAATTTGTTGCAGAGAGTCTGATTTAAAATGACTATTCTGGACCTTAAGTGAACTGGAAAAGTTCATACTAGAATATTGCCCCATCTTGGAAACTACCTCCCCAATTTCCTTGTGATTCTATCGGGCCTTATTGCTCTTTAAACTGAATTAGATTCTTGCTTACATTTTGGGGCTGATTATGAATCAGGTCTAGGGAACAGGGTAATTATTTTGTTCCCAATTGCAGAAGAGTAAATATGAGAAATGTCTTTATTTTGATGGGATGGCAGTTATATGGATATATATATATTTGTCAAAGTTCATTAATCTTTCCACATAAAATGTATACATTTTACTGCATGTGAATTTTACCCCAATCACTGATTTTAAAATACAGATATCTTGTGGACTTTATAAGACCTTCTCCTATTTAATTTCATGTACTAACTAAAAGATCTCTAATCTGTTTGACATGGATTTCTATAATCTGTTTTAAGCTTTAATCCTCTGATCTGTATAATTGAAATTTTATAAAAATATTTAGCACAATATCTGACACATAGTAGATTCTCAGTATATAGTAGCTGCAAATTATTATGAGTATAACAATTACTACTATGTATCTGTCATTTCTGCTTTGATTTCTTTTTATCTTTTCACAGAAAACCCGTATAGGCAGCTGCCCTGTAACTGTCATGGAAGCATGCCTGGAAAGACAGCAATAGAACTTGGACCTCTATGGTATGTGTGCCCAAGCATGATAATATATTCAGAATTGATTTATATATTGATTTTGTTTGTTGACTTTTGATGATGTGAGGTAAAAGACAAGCAAATTTTGATTGAATCTTTTAAAGTCTAAGCAAATAATTATGACTTCTCCCCCTATGAACCTGAGGTGTTTTGTTTTCAGATTTTTCTATAACATTATTCCCCCAAGTTTGTGACAGTGCTAAGAGGCAGTGGAATTAAAGAGAAGCCTGGCTGTTCTGCAAACTATAATTCATTTCTGAATAGTAAGAATTAGGCTTTTTTATTTTTATTTGGTAATTATAGAACTCTAGGGTGTGGTTAAAAAGTGATCACAGTAACTTTTTAAAGAAGAGCCAACTAATATAAAAAGTCTTTGAGGAATTAATTTTAAGAAGGGCAAATGCAAGTAAATGCCTTTTGTTTTTGGGTAAAGTTGTTTAGATGGGACGCAATTGCAAATTTTTAATGTATATATGCTTTTGTACACAGAAATTCCTAACAACATTGTGACAAGAATCATTGCAGATATCTACCTCATTAATTTACAAGGTCAAGGTTTAGCCACCTACTAAACTTAAAAATTAACACAAATGGTAAATGTTTGTGCTGATGCCCATTTTTAAATCTTTTTTCATGTCTAGTTAACTTTTTTGTTATTTTTTACTTTTTTATTTAATTTATTGGAGAGACATTGGTTAATAAATTATATAGGTTTCAGGTGTACAATCCTACATAATAAAAGCCTAATATGCTAAGTGTCCAAGGCGTAATAAGCTTATGATAAGCTAAGGCTGCTCAACCGCTTGCTATGACATGCGTTGACCACCAGGGCGCAGACAGTTGACCGGTCAACCAGTTGCTATGACGTTCACTGACCACCGGGGGCAGACGCTCTGACTGGGAGGTTAGCTTGCTGCTGAGGTCTGGCTGATCGGGACTGAGCGAGATGGGCCAGGCACGCTCTGGAGCCCTCCCGCAGTCCTTCCCTGGCTGGCCAAACTCCCATGTCCCTCCCAGGCTCCGATCGTGCACTGGAGGGGTCCCTTGGCCTGGCCTGCATCCTCTCGCAATCTGGGACCCCTCGGGGAATGTCGAAGAGCTGGTTTCAGCCCAATCCTGCAAGCCAGGCCTAGGGACCCCACTGGTGCACGAATTCGTGCACCGGGCCTCTAGTTCTATAATATATCATCTGTATGTTGTATTGTGTGTTCACCACCCCATCTTTATCCTATGTTAATACCCTTAGATTAAGAATGATCTAGCTAGTCTTATATTCTGGTACTCTCTTTCCTATGTCATCTGCTACATGTTGATCCTACTCACTGACCTCAGAACTGGGGAAATGAATTGTTAACAGCTGCTGGATCCAGAAGGAAGATCTAGCCCAAGTCCTTCATTTTATAGATGAGAAAATTACAACAAAGTGCTTTTAAGTGCTGGCTAAAACTGACCTCCAGAATTTGGCAGCTCAGGCAGGGCAAGAACTTGGGTTGTCTCACTCCCAGGATTGAGTTCCCATGCCTTATGATTTCCTCACTCAAAGCCATAGTCCTATCTTTACTCTCATCTAGAATCTCTTCCTCTTTCCCCACTTCTTTGAAATCTCTCCTTAGTGCTTCAACCCAAATTACTTCTAAATTCCTTTTTAGTAAATCTTACATTGATCGCTCATTTAACACTTAAAATCATATAGCTTTCCACATGTATTCGCTAACCCTGGTAATAATAGCTACCATTCATTAAGGATATACTTTGTTCTAGAGATTTTATGCATGCCATCTCATTTAATTCCATAAACACATGGAATATTTACTGTTACAGGAATATGCATTAAAACTTCTGCATTATATTACATCCCTGTCTAGATTTATAGGCTTAACATTATATTTTATACTTTGGTGTATATTCCACACCTATATGTAACACAGAGTTATACACATTATGAGGGTTGATTTAACTGTGAATGAAATTTCCTTGACTAACACTAGTTTGGAGAACTAACATGATAAAAAGGAATGGAGAAATAGGAAATAAACAATTTTAAGTTAAATCATAAATTCTTTTTAATTTCAGTATTTAATCAATCATATAATTAATTATATATCTTATTATTTAAGATAATAAACATTTCTCTCAAACCCAATTCTCTATATTTTCTTGGGATTTTTTGTTTCTTTTAGGTCAAGCTCCCTCTTCAATACTGGATTTCTCAAAAGAATGCTAATTGAATCTCTTCACCATGGTTTAGATGACATTCAGCCCCTAATAAAGACATTAATCTTTGAGTCAGAGTGTACTCCTCAAAGTCAGTTTTCAGTTCATTCACCTTCAAATCTCACCAAGCACGGTAACCAATTTAACACGTTTACTAGCTTACAAATTACCAAAATACTCTGTCTTTTTAAACTTTATTTGATGTTATAATCAAAAGCAGTATAAGTAGTGTGCTTTTAAATCCCCTCTGAGTCTGATCATAACCTGCTTAATTTTTATTTTTAATTGCATAGTTTTCTTCAGTTTTATATTCAGAACCTGAAATAGTGATTTTATTAAGATAAAAGTATGTATTTTTAAAATTTTAGTACATTAAAAGTACTGTCTATTGTGATTTTATTACACTTATCTGCTTTCTAAAAAGAGAAACCCTAGGGAATTCTGAGAGGTGTAGCCATTGAGACACAGAAACTAAGATATACACTTATCACTCATTAAAACTACGGTTTTTTTAATAGGCTTTTGTCGTTTTTTTTTTTTGTTTGTTTTGTTTTTAAATTTTTTTTTAATATATTTTATTGATTTTTTACAGAGAGGAAGGGAGAGAGATAGATAGTTAGAAACATCGATGGGAGAGAAACATCGATCAGCTGCCTCCTGCACATCTCCCACTGGGGATGTGCCCGCAACCCAGGTACATGCCCTTGACCGGAATCGAACCTGGGACCTTTCAGTCCGCAGGCCGACGCTCTATCCACTGAGCCAAACCGGTTTCGGCGGGCTTTTGTCGTTTTTATCTGGCCATTGACCTGAGGGTGGGCCTATTAGACATCCTAGCATTTCTCATAAGTCATTAGAAGCAGCAGTTGTTGTAGAGGATTAAATATGTAATTCTTGCCCTGTTTTGCCATAGAATCTATATATTCAGAAAAGCAGTGTGGATATAATTTAGAAATAAGCTTTTATTTAAACTTTGAATTGTTACTTGATAACATCCTGTAAAATATTTTGATTCCCATTTGTTTTTATTTTAGAAGAATGTGGTATATCTATTAAAACTACAGATGATACCACAACAGATAATTACATTGCACAAGGTATGTATGTATATGTGTGTATGTGTATGTATCAGTGCAAAAATCAGACAGCAAAAGAGTAGAAAGAGATTTCTTTGGTAGCCTATTTCACAGTGCATTTTTTTTTTTATTATACTGACAACCTAATTACAGTAAAACTTGTTTATCTGGTATTTACACAGTTCAAAATTTCTATGAACATGTACTGCACTCATAGTTCTAATATATAATGCATCCCTTTGAGAGAACTGTAATATCTTGAAAGAACGATGTGAACCAAAAATAAGATCAAATTCTGTTTGATAGAATTGATTAAATTTTATTATTCTTATTCTTTTAAACTTTTTCATCACCATATGATGCATAACAATTCCATTGATTACCCAGAAGGTCTATTCTCTAGCCATAGGAATGTATTGTATGGCTTTTCTTATAATTTGGGATGTGAGCACACTTAATTTCTCTTTCAGAGGTAAGAAAAAGGCAGTATGGTATACAGTAATGAGCATTAGATTTAAGAGAATCATTCTGCTTCTTTGTGTTGTTTGTTGTATAGCCTTGGACAGGTTATTCATTGAAGACCTATTTATTAAATATTGGCATTCGGTAGGGAGTACAAGTATAAAAATGGAAGGGCATTATCCCCAGGATAATGTAATACAATCTGGGGGGAAAAGATTTACATACAGAAAAGACCTACACACATGAAACAAAGAAGATAGAACTTAATCAAACTCTGAGTAGTATTGATAGTAATGAAGTCTGTGAGGTGATTGGCCCAGAATTCAAATAGCTTTCTTCAGAAGATGAAAATAGAATTGAGGCTTGACATTCAAGAAGGTAGAAAGGAAGTTCTGACTCAGCAAATAGTTAAATACTAAAATTCGATCAGTTAAGGATAGTGGAAATGAAAATATTTTATTCTTGCAATGAGTTCTCTTAAGAATTAAGACTGGATAGGTTGAAATGGTGTGTGTCAGAGGATTTAGACTTGAGATAGCATAGAGTTATAAAAGTATTCGGTTTCTAATTTTTAAGAGAATGCTAACTTTGTGTGTGTGTATTTGTGTGTTTCAGGAAAAAGAAAATGTACTGAAACAATCACAAATTTAGCCAAGAAACAAAAGGCTGATGCCAGTACCGAACATCCTCCCTTTTATTACAACATCCACAGACACAGCATTAAAGGGATGAATATGCCAAAGTAAGATAGCCAGTCAATGGCAACGTGTATATTTTATAATTTAATGACACAATGGTTTAAATAAAATTATAACCTCATTTTTTTTCCCTTTTCTTGCTGCAGGTTAAAAAAGTTTCTGTGCTATCTTTCTCAAGCAGGCTTTAGAGTAAGCCGAACTCATTTTGACCCAATGGGTGTTCGTACAGATGCACCTCTGATGCAGTTTAAATCTATCCTTTTAAAGTACAGCACCCCCACCTACACTGGAGGACAGTCAGAGGGCCATGTCCAATCTACATCAGAAGATACAGTAGCTGACAGGGTTGAAATGTCAGTGAATGAAAAAGCAGAAGCAAGCAATTGCAGAAGATGGTAAAAGTAGGGAAGTGTTTATTCCCATACATCTTTATAGATTATCTGCCTAATACTTCTCCATACCAACTGTAGTTCTTTTTTTATTCTTTCAATTCAGTGGTGTAAAAATAAAGTGCTGTTTTCATTTTAAAAGTAGCAGTTTCTAACTTAACTGGTTTGGGAGTTAGGCTTTCCAAGTTTTTCTTAAAGAAAACTTAGAATTGTAAGGAAAACATTTCATATGAAGCCAAGATTGACTGAGATCACCTACTATTTAATAACTCAGAAAATTCTCACATGCAAAGTGTTTGGAATTTTATGTATGTCACGTAAGTCACATCTCTGCTTAAATTGATGCTGAATAGAATAGGAAGAACAGTATCCTTTCAGGTCACTAATATATTTCACAATTACAAAGTTAAAATACATTCCTGATTTTAAGAATTCACACCTCTCCCATTTTAATCTTTTCATTTTTAGTTTTTGAGAAATTAAATACTTGCCTGAGATAGAAATCCATTTTTTTCTAAGTTTCAGGTCTAGATGACTACACTTGAGAGTAATAGTTTGCCAAAGTAAATTGAGACGACTGTTCCAATTATAATTGTTCACAAGCACTGAAATTCTCGAGAGATTTTGTTATAAACAAATTGGGTGATCTCAAGGGCCTCAGTTAATTCATATAAATATTCATTCGCTTGGTTGTGCTACCTCAGATGTAAAACTTGCCCACTTACGAAGTGAGGATTTTTTGTTTTGGGGGTGGATTTTTTTTTTTTTTTAATTTGTGGCGGGGGCTGGGGGGTTGGTTTGTTTGGTTTGTGTGTATATGCTCATTTTTTTGTATAGAGTAGACCAGGCTAACATAATTATGAAAATTAGTTGAAACAAAAATCTTGTTTCCATTAATAAATACTGTTCTTACTTCATTTGAATGAGTTTCGATGAAAGGATTTAGTATAAAGTTTGGATTTTTGTCTCAAGGATCTAATCCATATTTACCCTGAAGTACTTGTTAAAGGAAGTAACTTTTTTATAAGCATGAAGCTTGGGGGATGAAGGAGAAGAAATAACTGAAGGTTTTTAATACACTGCACTCCAGTGACATACACAAAAATCCAGGGAAAATCTTTGTTATTACAGCATAGTCCTGGAGGATTTTTTCCCCTTCAATTAATGGAATCAGACATTTTGGTAAAATAAAGGAATATGTGAAGTGCATTTGTTTCTATTATGACCATAATAAAACTATAATTCTTGCCAATTACAATTAAACTCACAAATGAGCACAAAAAGAAATGGTATTACTTTGTTTGTATAAAAATAAAAACTAAAAATAAAAATTACTATAAATCCAAAGGCAAATCAGTACTTGGACCATCTGACTTAGTGTATGTTGTTGAATATCAGTTTAAAATTTTGCTAAATGCTTAGCGTAACATTTTGATGAAGTTGAATTTTACGAGAGCCTAATTTGATATAAAATATGCAAATAACTTATTTAAAATACATATTTTTCTATATTAACTTCACTATTTGGTAGGAAGTACTTTGGAACTACATCAACCTAAAGAGGAAATCCTTTTAAATTCCATCTAATTCTACATTAGCACCTTGTTTGCATAACAATTTGGAACATAAAGGCAGCTGTATCACTCCTTTAAAATTTGGTAAACACAAGAAACTGGTTCTTACAATGTGTTGGCTCTGCTAGTTGCTTATCGTAATACTCTAACCATAGACTCAGGAAATGGGAGAAGTAACCTGAAGGGTTTGGGTGCCACTGTGGTGGATTTTGGTTAAAACTTCGTTAATCACTGGAGAATATTTTGCAGAAATGAGACTAAGACCAGGTGTTCAATAATTGCAAAAAGTCTAGGGAGTTCTTTCTTTGGTGTAAAAATAACTGCTCTGGTAAATGGCCACAGGTTACTTTGGAGAAGGCTAAGAATATACATAATATAAACTTATAGCAGGGTCCTTTCTCAAAAGGCTCTGGAAATGTGAATTAAATCAGGCCTGGGAAATGGATAAGGGATCTTAACTTCTATAGTAGCTGTAGTGACCTGCAGTTTTCAGTTAGATAAATCAAATGGGATCTCTTTGGTCCTTTGGATCATATGATCAATTAGCCAAGGCCAAATGTCCTGTCAGACTATATTATAGCTTTTCAGAGTGCTACTTCTCTTCTCACCAGAGCATTTCTCAATGATGATAAAGAGTCGTTCCAATCACATAAATCCTCTCCAACATTTCCCCTTCTAAGTCTTTATTTCCTTTCTCTATGATGTATCAGAATTTTTGGCACCTCATCGCCCATTTAGATGAAGCACTGCTGAGTCAAAATTTCAACCAAGTAAACAGAACCACTCCCAGCTATTCAAGCTGATGTACTCTCTTGTGTAAGTGTACCCATACTGATAATTTGACCCAATTTTAAGATTATGTTTCTTACTTCAAGATCTAACACACGCGGAATCTATTTCCACAGGTATTCTCCATAAATTATCAGTATACAGGATCAAAAAAAGAAAGCATTCTTTCAGGAGGCACTTTGTACTTGTCCCCAGAACATGCTGGGATCTGAAGATGAGGGATTGTAGAGATAAAACAGATGGGATGCTTTTTGCAAGGTAACTAACTCCTTGAAGGGGTCATCCACCAAAACAGAAAACATCCATTTTAAGTGAGGTTCATTGGAGTAAAGGATTTAGGATACAGATTCATCCATATCTTTATAAAATTCTTCAGTTCTCAGAATGCCACACTCCAGACGAAATACCTTAATATCTTTAATTTTTGAGAATTTGCTTCATATAGAATCCTTGGTTCACTGCCTTTTCCTTTCAACACTTTCATTCATTACTTCCTGGCCTCCATGACTTCTCATGAGAATCCAGTTGTTAATCTTATCAAAGATCCCTTGTATGCAATGGGTCACTTTTCTCTTGCTATTTCCAAGAGTTTCTCTGTTATTTAGCATTTGTTGAACTTCTTAGATGTAGATTTTTACCAAATTTTGAAATTTGAAGCATTTCTTCAAATACATAAGGTGCCCCTTTACTTCCTCTCCTTCTGGGACTCCCATTATACATCTTAGTACACTTGATGGTGTCCCACAGGTCTCTCCCTTGTTCCTTTCTTCCTGTGTTCAAAGTTCAAATCTATTAGCACCTCTGTTGGATTTATTTCACTTATTGTATATTTCCAACCCAGTATTTTTATTTAGTTCTCTTAGTATAATTTCTCTCTATTGTTATTCTCTACTTGGTGAAAGACTGTTCTCAAATTAGTTTTAAAATAGCTTTAGTTCTTTGAACATATTTTTAAAAGCTGATTTAAATATTTTGTTTCATTAAGTCCAACATCTAGGCTTTCTTACACTTTCCTGTTTCTTTACATGACATGCAAATTTTTGTTGGAAACTAGATATTTGAAATATGACTGGGCAATGTTGGATAAAAGAATCCCTTCACATCCTTGGGATTTGTCGAGTTTGCTGTTTAGTAATCTACCTGGACTAATTCTGCAAAGTGAGCATTCTTTGCTGTATATGAGCACTACATTCTGCTTTGTTAGCTTAAAGGTCAGCTAAAGGTTGGACAGAAAATTCATTAGGTGCCCTGAAACAGTTACTCTCCCAGCCTTGATGAAGTGCTCTGAGAATGTTTTCAAATATGCCTTCAACACTCCAACATGAAGCTTACACTGTGCCTTCACCTTCACTTCCTGCTTGAAGAGCCTCGCGTTCTGCCACAGCTTCAATGGGTGCCTCCTTTTGTCCTTGGGTGTGAATGCAACCTTGCACATGCCTGTCGCCCTCTAGAGTCCCAAGAATATCTTGGAGCCTTTCCAAACCTTTACAGGTATGTCATCCCTCGGCTTTTCCTTTCTGTTTCTTCAGCCTCTTTTTAGCACTGCCTCAAGGCAGCTGCCACATTAAACAATTGCAGCTGTTTCTGAAGATAGGGCTCTTTGCAGAGAGTGAGGGGTGTCGGATCAAATAAAGACAAGCTCTGAGAATAGAGCTTTTCAGTGAGGCACCAAACAGGTCCAATCTAAATGGCTTAAGGGGGAGCTTCAACCCACTTCTCAGGATACAAAACTGCTGGGTTTCACAGCTACCATAGTTACAAGGCTATACATTTTCAGGTCTACCCTGGAACTGAGAAAATGGGTATAGGGCACTTTAAAATGCTACAAAACTTGTTAGTTTTTACTGACCAAATTAAGTTGATTTTGACAACTTTTATAGTTCTCATGCTTTTATGGAAGAGCAGGTTTTCATAGTTAATTTCCTTAATTACATTAATTCAGAAGCACTTCAAGGAAGCCATTTTTATAGTTACAACAATTGCACACTAATATTCTTTTCTTATACTGTTTCTAGTATTTTAAAAAGCCAAGTATTTCTAAATAGAAATGTGATGGGGATTTTTTAAGACTCCTTTTCGCCCTAGCCGGGGTTTTCTTTGCGTGTTTTTTTTAATCCTCATACCCAAGGATATTTTTCCATTGATTTTTAGAGAGAGTGCAAGAGGCAGGGCAAGACAGAAATATTAATGTGAGAGAAACACATTGATTGGTTGCCTCCTGCATGAGGGCCCTAGCTGGTTTTTCACAATGGTTAGAGCATCAGCCTGTGGATTAAAGGGTCCCAGGTTCGATTCCAGTCAAGGGTATGTACCTGGGCTGCAGGCTCGATCCCCGGGGTGCGTGTGGGAGGCAACCAATCCTTGTCTCTCTCACACCGATGTTTCCTCTTGTCTTTCCCCTTCCCTTCCACTCGCTAAAAATCAATGGAAAAATAGCCTCTGCTGAGGATTAAAAAAAAAAAAAGATTCCTTTTCTCATCTGGCATTTTAATTATTTTGTATTTAGTTATCCAAGTCAGAATCCTAAGCTTCAGTTTTCTCAAATGTACAAGGGAAATACTGTCTTCCTCATAGGGTTCAGAGTATTGAAATATGTAAAACTATTACAAAGCTATAGTAATGAAGACAGTATGGTACTGACACCATTGTAATAGCTTGGTTATTATTTACAGAAAAGAAATAAAGAGAAGACTAGATAATACAGACATGCCATTTATACAGCTTAGCTAGAAAGCTGTAATTTAACACTCTCCAAGTCTATTCCCTGCTGACCATGGAGGAAGGGACTGGACAAAGGCAGTTTAGATGCATGCCCAATAATGTCTGAGTGATTTGAAAGATGCTTACCTGCCAGTCACACCTGGGAACAAGTCAGAGGCCAGAATAGGGCACACAACCTGAATATTTAGACTCCTAGACAAAGGAAGTTCACTCTCTTGAGACTCCTGTTGCATGGTGTGCACAACCCTGCATTCGCCCACGAGGCCCACGGCCATGTGGACTTCACACAATGGACTAAAGGACTTTAGCCTAATGCTGTATCAAACCAGCTCCACCATGGAACGGAAGTTCTGGACACTGGCCTTCTTTTATGTTCTGCTTGACCCCTACCTATACCTTTTTCAGGACTGGGTTAAAGAGGCATACGACTTTGCAACCAGAGAAATGTAAGTCCACACCAATAAGAATCTTAGAAAATTCATCTTCTCAAAATGTCACAAGAGCCAACCCATACCCACAAGCAACAGGAAAATCTGGCCCACTTATTTCTCCAACAACAGTACTAGCAAAAGGACAGTCATATAGTCCAATGGAATATAGAGCCCAGAAGTAAACCCTCACATACAGTCAATTAACTTTTGAGTAGACTGCCAAAGCTATTCATTGGAGAAAGGGCAGTCTTTTCAACAAATGCAAACAAAATTGAATCCTTACCTTTCACCATATACAAAACTCAAAATGGATAAAAAATCTAAATGTAAAAGCTAAAACTATAAAACTCTTGGAAGAAAACACAGGAAAATCTTCATGACATTGGATTTGGCGATGTCTTCTTGGATATGACACCAAAAGCACAGGCAACAACAACAAAGGCAAATTGAATTTCACCAAAATTTAAAACTTTTGTCCATCAATGGACACTATCAAGAAAGTGCAAAGACAACCCACAGAATAAGAAGCTAGATGCAAATCATGTATCAGATCATTAATATTCAAAATATATAAAGAACTCCTACAACAACAAAAACAAAATAATTAAAAATGGGCAAAAGACTTGGATAAATACTGCTCCATAGAAGATATACAAATTGCCAATAAGCACATGAAAAGATGCTTAGCATCACAAGCCAGTAGAGAAAGGCAAATCAAAACCACAATAAGATAACACTTCATGTCCATTAGTGTAGCTATCAAAGACAAAAACGAGTGGTGAGGATGTGTAGCTATTAGAATCCTTGCTGTACTTTGCTGGTGGAAATGTAAAATACTATGGCCACTCTGTAAAAGTTTCGGATTCCTAAAAGTAAACACGGAATTATCATACAATCCAGCAACTTCACTCCTATATACCCCAAAGATTTGAAAGCAGAAACCTGAACAGATACGCACACAAAATATTCACAGCAGCATTATTCACAACAGCAAAAAATGTCCATCAACCTAGGTGTCCATCAACAGATGAACAAAATGTTTATATACATAAAATGGAATATTATTCAGCCAAAAAAGGAATGAAATTCTGATACATGTTACAACATGGATGACACTTCATAATATATGAAATAAAACAGACACAAAGAACAAATATTTTATGAGTCCATTTACATAAGGTGACTAAAATAGTCAAATTCAAAGAGAGAAAGTAGAACAGAGGTTACCAGGGGCTAGAGTGGGGGGAGGAAATGGGAGTTAATGTTGAATGGGTACAGAGTTTGTTTGGGATGATAAAAAAAAGTTCAGGAAATAGTGGTGATGGTTAAATGATACTGTGAATGTACTTAATGCCACTAAACTGTATATTTAAAAAATTAAAATGGTAAATTTGGTTATATGTATTTTACCATAGTAAATTTTTAAATGATAATGTATCCAAAGGCCTGACCACATTTGATGAGCCTTTTGTTCCTCAACACAGATGGTGGTTACAGAATTTATTTAGATAATACTTTATAAAATCTCAGTTGGTAGTAATGATAAACAATACTACCCCCAAAACACAAACACACACACACACACATACAACACTGCACTCAATACTCTATCAAATACCTATAATATCTATCAAATATCTATAACTATATTTTGCAAAAGACTACAGATCGGAATGAATTCACTAATGATGCAGAATTTACATCCACCCCCAAACTGGCAAATATAAACACATACATTTTCTAAGCACAAAGCTTATATTCACAAATAACTTTTTGCTTAAAGACAAAATTTCAATTAATAATCACAATGAGAATTTAGTTATTTAATGCAACCACTAATCTAATGTCACCAATAAAATCTAAACAGTTATATCACAAAACCAGGATTATATTGAGTGGGCATGCACTGATAGTCTATACAATGTAACATTACAACAGAAAAAGTAATTGAATACAAAAGTTCCCGTGACTTTTCATGGTTTTCAAATTTCATGGCACAGTTTACCAAAAAAACTATAAAAACAGATTTTAAGTATTTTCAGTAAAATGGTAAAAAATTGAATAAGCCTTTACATTTTAATATTGGATTGAAGATTTAAAACCTCAAGCTGGCCCCAAAATGTCAAAAATGACAGATAAACAGTACTAAGATCTAGATAAGACTTTAGTTATGGTTCTGTCTCCTCCCTGGCAAAAACCCTGTAGGGTCCATTTCTCAATGCAAACATGTCTTTGTAAATACTGTGATAATACAAACTTGAAAATATACCAGAAATCAGAATAGGGATGAAAAATAACACATAATCCCATCTTATTTCTGACCTGCCATCATAAAGCCTTCTGGGTCCAAACGCTGAACACTGTCCCTCAATATAAAACTAAATTAAGAAGACAATGACTTTTACTCTCCTGGCTGACATCCTTCTACAGAATTATCTTTTACTACATATCAAGGCAGGTCTAAGCTCTGTTAACTCGCTTCTCTAGAGTGTAATTAGCAAAGCACCAAATTTATAAACTGATATATGGCAACCCAAAATACTAAACACATTTTTCAAACAGAAGCAAACATTTTCTCCCATATCGTTAGTTCATATGCCATGTTATTAACTTACATAGCTATCAACACAGAAAAAACTGGGGAAGCTTTGAACATATCTTGTACTTTTCATCGAGGCTAAAGTGCAAAATATCTCCATATCTCTGATATTTTAATAGGAAAATCATCAAACATACATAATAAAGGAACTGCACTGACAGAACTAATACAAAAAAAGACCTCTTTAAATATATACCTGGAGACTACATAAGACCAATATAATATTTCTTTCTTCAGTGAAATCTGTAAATGAACCAAGTTCTCACTGAACTTGAGATTTTGTTTGATTCTTTCCCAGGATCAGAAATTCCAAAATTAGAGTAGGAGAGAAATGGAAAAAAATAACATTGCATGACAATGAACACTAAGTTCATAAAGAACCTTTCTGTAAAAAAAAAAAAGAGACAGAGAGAGATTATGGAAGAAAAGACCATGAAAATAATAATCCTATGAGAACTGATTTTTGAACACAATAAATTTGAGCCTTGGTCTTCATGAAGATACTACAGCTTATACAGAAAACTATAAACATACAAGACTCCAGGGAAAAAGAAAAGTCAAAATACATATTATTTCACATTCTGTAAGGCCTAAACTTTTGAGGGGAGGGAAAAAGATGGCCAACTGAATCTCAAGAATACAGAACCATGCCCTGGCCAAGTGGCTTAACTGGTTGGCGCATCATCCCATACACCAAAAGGTTACAGGTTCAATTCCCAGTCAGGGCACATACCTAGGTTGCAGCTTCGACCCTAGTCAGGGCACATACAAGAGGCAACCATCGATGTTTCTCACATTGATGTTTCTCTCTCTCCCTTCTTCTCTTTATAGAAATCAATAAAACATATTCTCAGGTGAGATTTAAAGAGAGTCCAAAATTATGAAAATTCCTGGGTCAAAGAGTGCTCCAAATGAAACCATACTTTGTAAAGACATACTACTTATATTTTTAAAAGGAAAGAAAGGTTCTGAATAACTGTAGTCCCTTCCAAAAAGGAAATCTTAAATTAAGGGGAAAAGATCCTAAGAGTATAAACGAGGCTGGCTCAGGAAGAAAGTTGAACAACATATCCAAGATACTGTCCATAAAAGTAATGATGATACATCTTTAATAATAAAGAAATAGGCTATAAAAAAAGTTCAATATCCAGATTGGTTTTAGTAAAAGCTCATTTGTGCTCCTTTGTGGGTGCATAATAAAGTTCCATGGGTTTGTTCACTTTCCAGTATTTCTCACTGACCAATTCCAAAGAAAAAGAGCCATTTAATACCTAAAACAATAAGAGAGAAAGAGTTATGAAAACTGCTCAAAGGATAGTATTCCATCTCATTATTAAAAGTCCACCTTTAAAAAAAAAAGCTTAGGATAAACTTGTCACTTATACTATTCATAAAACATATCAAAAAGTTAACTACCCTGGTTCTCTATCTCTCGGGGTGTCAGGATCCTGTCCTGCGCCATTTTATTAGGCCCCACCCCACCATTGGCCACTCTCAGATGGTTAATTCACTTCCAGTTTCAATGGCCTATTATTTTAAACTAGAGGCCCAATGCATGAAATTCGTGCAAGGGGCTCAGCCTCCGCCGCTGCAGCTTCGTCTGGAAGGTCGTCTGGTCTAATTAGCATATTACACTTGTATTATTATAGAATACTCACAGTGAACTGCCCACTGGCTGTTGCTATGTAAATGGTATACTGCTTCTCACTGGCTGTATCAAGGTTCATCTGGTTTGATTCTCCTTTGCTTCGAAGTTCTTCTAAAGCTAACCTCACAGCCAGATACTTGGATAAGTGATCAACAGTGGCATTACCAGAAGTCTTTATGTATCTGGAAAAATAAATCATTAGAAATTTCATTTCTAAATTAATAATGAAAATGTGATTACAGGACTAATACATTTCTATAAAATGTAAATGTCTCTATTATTGATAAAATAGTATCAGAAATTTAATCATCTATTATCTAAAAATTCCTTATTGAAAGCAGACTATCTACCAGGCCACAAAAGCATCCATAAAAATGTGATATAAAATGATAAAAATACAAAAAATATACACAGTACTGAGGAAAAAGAACAAACATCTCAACCCAATGATCAAGTCCTGCTGTCTACAGCAGCAAGAATATGACCAATTGCTTATTGTTTAAAAAATTCATCAATGCCGAAACCGGTTTGGCTCAGTGGATAGAGCGTCGGCCTGCGGACTGAAAGGTCCCAGGTTCGATTCTGGTCAAGGGCATGTACCGGGGTTGCGGGCACATCCCCAGTAGGAGATGTGCAGGAGGCAGCTGATCGATGTTTCTCTCTCATCGATGTTTCTAACTCTCTAGCCCTCTCCCTTCCTCTCTGTAAAAAATCAATAAAATATATTAAAAAATAAATAAATAAATAAAAAATTCATCAATTTTTGATGTTTAAGACTGAGCATAAAAGTGCTAATCTTGCCCTAACTGGTTTGGCTCAGTGGATAGAGTGTCGGCTTGTGGACTGAAGGGTCCCAGGTTCGATTCCGGTCAAGGGCATGTACCTTGGTTGCGGGCACATCCCCAGTAGGAGATGTGCAGGAGGCAGCTGATCGATGTTTCTCTCTCATCGATGTTTCTAACTCTCTAGCCCTCTCCCTTCCTCTCTGTAAAAAATCAATAAAAATATATTTTTTTAAAAAAAGTGCTAATCTTGGGGTTTTTTTTAAAGTATGGTATACTCATCAATTACTCACTGAGCAAATATTTGATGTTTATCTGCACTCAATGGCAGGCAGAAAGCTGAGATACAGTGTCATCCTCACCAGCAAGAATTCTGGTATTTATTGGCACCCCAGTATCATTGTTAAGAAATTTAAGTGACCCTTTTTTCTCCCTCCTCTAGGAAGGAGGGTCAGGTCATTCCTTTCAGATATCCAAGTGTGGATGGGAAGCATGGAGGAAGAAAACAACTACCTAGGCATCAAGAATATCCAAATGAACCCTGACAGTCAACTGGATGGCAAATATTGCCCTTCTTTCTTATGCAAAATTGCCTTGAACTCCCAATTAAATTTCCTGAATTCAGATAATCTAAAACTAACCCGCACACTTACCTTGTCTGTGCACTGTCATCTTTTTCCATCAGTGTGGGATGAGGCCTGAACACTAACTCAATTTCACTAGCACCATCCATTACTGGATCAATTGCCACTGTTGCATTATTGTTATCAAGCTCAAGCCCAGAATCATCTGATGTTTTGGTCCGTTTGTTACTAGGCCCTGCTTCCTGATTGCTGTGTGTGGATGCATTACTACAGTGGGAACTGTCACCATTGTCTTCTGCTCCACTGCCATTTTCAATCTGTTGTTTCTTGCCGCGCTGTAGTCTAGTTAAGAAACAAAAAGGCATTGCAGAAAATGTACTTAGGCATTTTTAATGAACCCCTTTGAAGCATGTTTACAGAACTTTAGAATTCTAGAAAATTCTAGAAAAGCCCAGTAGGGGGCGTGCAGGAGGCAGCCAACAGATGTTTCTCTTCTATCTTTCCCTAGCCCCTCTCCCTTTTCCCCCTCTCTCTCTCTCTAAAAAGAAAGGGAGAGAGAAAGAAATTAATTTTTTTAAAAAAGAACTGTGTAACTTTTAAAATAAATACATTCAAAATTTAGTATTTTATAACTATATATGATGAAAGGTGGGTGGGTACTAGAAATATTGGGGGAGGGACACTTTCTGAAGTTTATTATTGTCTAAACAATATGCTGTATACCTGAAACTAATAATGAAATAATACTGAATATAAACTGATTTAAATTTTTTTAAAAATTATAATACTTTATTTTGCTTTACTAAATACAATTTCAGGTGAGTTTTATGGAGTTTAACCTCTAAGCCAGTGGTTAAAAGTTGCACTTTTTTTTATAAAAAAATTTTTTTAATTGATTTCAGAGGAAGGAAGAGATAGAAACATCAATGATGAGTGAGAATCATCCATTGGCTGCCTCCTACATGCCCCCTAGTGGGGACCGAGCCAGCAACCAAGGCATGTGCCCTGACTGGGACTCCAACGGTTACCTCCTGGTTCATGGGTCAAGGCTCAACCACTGAGCAACACTAGCCAGACTAAAGGTTGTACTTTAAAACCACTCCTGAAACCTTAAATAGTGATGCCTGAGTCCAATCAAAGATTCTGATTTAGTTGGCCTGAGGTGTTACCTGAAGCCCTAGGATTTAAAAACTTTCCAAGTGACTCTGAAGTTCAGCCAAGATGAGAACTAGACATGGATGGGACTCTACTGGCATCTCCTACTTTGAAAAATGATGAGGCCTGAATATATTAGATGTCAGAGAGAAAAAGAGAATGGGAGTGAGAAGGTGCCCAAATTATGTAGGGTTTTAGAAGCCAAGGTCTTTTAACCTGAATGTTAATAGAAGTTATTAGAGACCTCAAAGCAAAGGAGAATCATGATTTGACTTTCAATTTAACAGAATCACTCTGGCTACTGTGCTGAGAATAGATTATGTGGGGGTAAGCGTGGAAAGTATATAGACCACTCATGAGGATTTTTCAGTACTTCAAATGAAAGATAATGGTGGCCTAGATAGCAAGTGGAATGATGGAGTTGCCATCAACTGAAATGAGCAAGAATGAAGAAAAATAGAGGGTAAGAACAAAAAAGTTCAGTACATGTCTATACACGGTAAGTTTCAGATAAGAAATAGCTAATAAAATACAAAGGGAACCAGGAAAATATGGTCTCCTGAAAGCCGGGAGAAGAAAATTATTCAGAGAAATTAATTTGTAAAATGCTACTAAAGTAAGATGGGGTCTGAGAATCAGCAATTAGATTTCACAATGTTGACACCACTGGTAACTTTTGATAAGAGTGATACAAGGGATTAAAGTCTGACTAGAGGGTTCAAAAAGAAATGGAAGAAGTAGAGATAGTGAGCACAGACAACTCTTTTAAGAAGTATTGCTATAAAAAGAAGATAAATAGAACAGTAGGTAAGTGGAAGGAGAAGTGGTTATAAAAGGGTATTCAAAAGTTCTAGTGTTTTAAATGGAAACCCAGGCATATAAGATACCTGGAGGCATATACCACACTTGCATGAAAATGTAATCTTGCAGAACTACTATTTATTACTTTTTGTATTTTGTCTTTTTCAAAATGAAGGCTGTTAATAAATTCAATATTTAGTAAAGTATTCAGGAAAATGGCCACCTTCTTCCCCATATACCTGTTCATGGCCTGTATCTTCAGTCCTTCCTCAATGCTGTGACTGAGTGCTTGCTGATTATTGTGCTTATTAATTCTGGCTAATACTCTCTCTTGATGAGCTTCGTACTCATCACGACTTGGATAAATTTTGCTGATGAGTGCATCAAAGTTCGGGTCTGGCCTTAGTGATCTTTTGGAAACTAGCTTTTTCCGACATGTAGGACATTCTTTATTGCTAAATAAAAAGAGAGGAAAAACAATGTAAACAATGCCAGTACCTTTAGGCTAAAGACAAAAATATCTAGCTTCTGGAATAGTTACATTATCTTTATTCTAATATCTTTAAGAAGTCACAGAAATTTAAACTGATTAACTTAAACTTTATTAAAAATCTGACTAATCTTGGGTAAGCAAGATTTTTGAAAACCTCAGATACTCTATACTACTGTCAAAGGAAAAATTTGATTATCCCCAATGATAATTTATAGCCACTTTTAGAAATAGAAATCAACTCTTTTCCTAATATTAATTTCCCCTTTCTCATTCCCATGACATACAAGCAAAAAATAACCACCTATATTAATTTATGTTATCAATTCTTTTATTAAAACAATTCATAAGGATATCATTTTGTATACTTAAATAGAAAAACCATGGCTTCATCATTTCCTCAAAACAAATAGGCATCCTATAAAGCTTCTGAAAAATGTATAAAATGAATTGTTTCAAAACAAAGATACTCCAATAATTCAAACCTAGACTTTAGAAAAATTTCCAATTCTCAAATGAATACTTCTAGAGTATGTACTTCTCAAAACCCATAGAGCACTGTCTTGGTACAGCTGAAGTACCTAGTATAACTCATTTCAACATACCCACTTCTGAGGGCTGTGATAATGCAGTCTGCACAAAAACGGTGCAAACACTCCTTTGTAGTCATGGTGTTCTTCAACATATCCAAACAAATTGGGCACATTAATTCACTGTGTAGACTTCGAGGTGAAACCACAATTTCCAAGCCATCCGTTATTGCCTCCTGTAAAAGAGGGAATTTAAAATTTAAACGCTACCTATATTTTTATTGTGGATAAGTTCAAATACACAAAAGTATTAAGAATGACAAAAATGAACATGTACATACCTATCACCCAGCCACTACCACTGTCAGCTCACAGCCAATCTTGTTTCGGCTATAATGTCCCCCAATTCCTTTCACTGCCCCCACCAATGCGTTATATATAAATGCTTTTATTTTAATGCTAAAGATAATATATTAATGTATCTAAAAGACAACTAGGAGTAAATTATCCTGGTGTAAAAAAAAAAAAAAAGCATTGAATTAGGAATCAGATACCTTAGGTTTTAGTTCTAGCCATATTAACCAGTTATGTGGTTCTAAATAACTATTTGACATCGTTCTTTACCCTGCAAAATGAGCAAGTTTCTTCTGTCTTCAGAATTACACAATTTTGATAATATAGTTCCCCCCCTTTTTTTATCAGTGGCTTCACTTCCTGAGGTTTCAGTTACCTATGGTCAACCACAGTCCGAAAATATTAAATGGAATATTCCAAAAATAAACAACTCAGAAGTTTTAAATTGTGCACTGTTCTGAGTAATGTGATGAAACCTTATGCTGTCCTGCTCCATCCCACTTGGGAGGTGAATCAGCCCTTTGTCCAGCATATCCCCACTGTATACACAAGCTACCCTTACGTTGGCGACAGGAGCCTTCTCAGTTATCAGATCAACTGTCTCAATATCTTGAGCTGTGTTCAAGTAACCTTTATTTTACTTCCTAATGGGCCCAAAGCACAAGAGTAGTGATGCTGGCAATTTAGATATGACAGAGAGAAGCCATAAAGTGCTTTCTTTAAATAAAAAGGTGAAAGTTCTCAATAAGGATAGACAATATCATATGCTGAGGTTACTAAGATCTATAGTAAGAAGGAATCTTCTAGCCATGAAATTGGCTAAGTTACAAACTAAACTTTACCCTAGGTATGTTTGTATAGGAAAAAAACATGGTATTTAGTGTTTAGTACCATCTGTGGTTTCAGGCATGCACTAGGTGTCTGAGAATGTAATCCCGTGGATAAGAGGGGACTACTGTAAGTTATACATTTCATGCCATCTATTAAAAAGATTTTAAGATTCCAATACAAATATTCTCTAATTGATACACAATTTAACTATTTCATTTTAAAATCACTTTTTTGGAACTTAAAAAGTCTTGATCCACAAAAGCAATTTTACACAAAGTGGTCAGGTTCTCAGGCTAACTGATTTAAACCATAGTATATCTGAAGTATTTTTATTTGTCATGTCTAAAAAATGTGATAAAATGCATTTGGAGTTCCAATGTACACATCTCCCAGCTGCAGAGAGACTAGTGACTCCTACTTCTTCCTACCACTATCCACTCTTCCTACAAGGTGCACTGAGAACAAATTACCTAGCTCAAAAGCCACCAATATGGCCCCTATGGAATAAGAAAAGAGATTCGGTAACTACTGGAAAGGAAGATGCAAGTAAAAATAAGGAGCTTCCCATGTTAGTGACACTCCCTTGTTTCTACTGCCTCTCCATAGTACTTGCTTTCTCTAAAGGGTCAAAGACTGGTGACCCCACAAGGAAAGACAGAAATAATAGGTACTGTCCATGAAGAACGCAAGTAAAATATATTTACATTTACAATAACTATCACTATGATCAAGTGTCTGCATGTTTCAGCCTCGCTATATAAAGCACTTTCTATATTTTATTTTACTTAGTTTTAATACATACACAAACTTCTGATTTAGGGATTATAACCTCTGATGAGGAAATAATCAAAGAGAATGATGATGACTCAGCTAGTAAGTCTGTCCTGTTTAGAAAGAACTTGCCTAACAAAATCCCAACCCTGTTCTCCAGGCCTGTACCTGTGCAGGTAGAGCAGCACTGTGGGGATAAGACGGGGGGAATCTCACAACCAGACGGGTATCACTAAAACTTTCACCAGACTCAAATGGGTGTTCAATACTGCTCAGTAATTGGTTTCTCTAACAAACTCATTTTTCCTTTCACTACACTATTGTACACCTTTTCTTCTATCTGCAGACCTTCTCCACCTGAACATTCAATACATTACCTTACCTCAAATTTCATAACCATCTTCTTTCCTATAAGGAGGAAGTATACCTCTTCCTACTGAAAATACATTCCTTCCTATGTTATCAAGTGTATCACTCGTTTGACTATTCTATCTGCTCTCAGATTTTAGCCAACTTTCCTCCACTAAATCAGCCCAGAGTAGTATCTCCATAGAGCTGCTGCACAGAGAAACGTGCATGATGCACCTTAGAGCTGTCAAGGGTGGAGAGGTGGGGAGGAGAGGGGAATGTTGAACAAGGGAAGTGGAAGGAGTCTACATAGCTCTTTCTCCTTACAAACAAAACGAAATTTAAAACTTCCCAATTCTATGTCCCCCTCCAGTGTTTGCTCCATTTCTCTGCTCCACTGCAGAGCCAAACTTTTCTGAAGAATTGCCTATGCATTTTCACTTTTTCCCCCTTCGACATAGCAGCACAATCTATCAAGTGAATCTCTTGAAAAAATCACCAAGTACATATTGCCAAATCTAATGTACACTTTTGTAATGCTCATCTTATTCATCTTCTGAATACTGTTGAAAACAATAACTGAATCCTCCTCCTTAAAACACTTCCTCATAGATTTTGTCCCTTCTCTCGCTCTTCCTTGCTTTTCCCTGTCTCCTTTGCTGGCTCCTTGTCCATTACTTAATCTCTAAATGTTGAAGCTCCTCTGGATGAAGATCCGGGCCCTCTCCTCCTCTCTTTCTAGACGATCTTATCTATTCACATGCTGTAAATGTGCTGACTATCTCTAAAACTTAACATTTAGTCCAGTTCTCTAGTTAGCATCACTGCCTGTCTTATAGGCATCACCAACTTAAAATGAGATCAGTTGTAAGTATGCTTATCTCCTTCAACCCTGCTTCCACCCCCAGTCTTCCCCATCTTTACCTTCTGAAAATAGTCTTCCCTACTTCCCCCCAGTTATTATTTATTACAGCACTGAGGACTTTTCCTTTACCCAATCTCTCAAGGTATAATTCTATGGATGTTTATCTGTTTAATGTCTATAAATTCTAAGAGCTAGTGCTACATGTTTTATTCACCATTTCACCTAGTGCCTAGCTTAGGACCTGTAGAATATGCACTCAAATTATTTGTTGAATGAATGAATGAAGTGTCAACCAAATATACACAAGTCAGTACTACTTGTATATCAATTTATTATTACTGTTATGTTCTTTCAAGTTTTCATTTTCTAAAAATGTATCCCAATTTACATATGTATCATATTTCCCCTGTTATCTTAGTCTACATTACCTGAGGTGTTCGTTGTAATTCATATAAACTGAGTTCCCATGTTTTGCTTAATGGTTGAGTTCCATTTGTCTGCACAGCCTGAGACATTGCTAGGGATAAAAAAGAAAGAAAAAACAATTTTAGTATCTGAAAGGGAAATAAATCTCAAAAGTGATTTTTAGGAATTGTAAATCCTAAGGATAATAAAAATAAAAATTATACACTGGCTCCTCAAAAATTAAAAAAAAAGCTCAAGAATCTCTCCATTTATAATACAAACTACCAGAAAGCAAGAGAGACTAACTGATCTCTGAATGCCCAAAATAATTAAACACACAGAAAGTACTTAATTATTACTGAAGGTATACAAAACAGTCTTAACCAAAACAATATTTTTAAAAGAAGTCATGGTCATGGGACTTAGAACTAAATCAGGAAAATTTGAGACTCTACAGCATGGCCTCTAGTCCAACTTTTGTCAAAGATACAAAAGCTGCTTTCTAGCACTTGAAGCCACTGGTCACTCTGTTCTTAAGCTCTGCCCTCAGGAAAAACTGGTTAACCAGAACCTAACCTGCCAGAGTATTATCCAGAACCTCACTGACCTGGGGAAGGAAAATACACAACTCTTGCGCATTCTAGCCATCCTATCCCCACCTATTGGGGAGACGGGGAGGGAAAAAACTAAGAACCAAAAATTGACAGCATTATTTGTAATATCAAAAAAAAGGCCATGCATGCCTGTCAATA